ATTGATGATTTAAAATAACAAAATCAACAAGAAGCAAAACTAGGTACAGAGATGACATAATTGCTCATCAGATCACAAGTCTCTGGCCGGGGATATAGCTCAGTGGCACAAGCGCCTGCCTGGCAAGAGCAAGGTCCTGAGTTCAATTCCCAGTACCAAAAAACAAAACACACACACACACACACACACACACACACACAGTAACATACAGTATTCTTTTGAGCTGCCATTAGATTCACTGCTTAAATCCTATTCCAGTTCATTCTGATTGCACCACAGTATAAATACTTAACAGCTATTACTTCAAGTTTGATGTGGCAGTCTTGTAGCTTGTCTCCCCTGGTCACTAATTGTTCTTCCTATGTGGGTTTTGCCTCCTAGGGGGAGAAAATACATTCATAGAATATTTTATTCTTACCAGGAAGAGTATAGCACTTTAGAAGAATTGTGCATTCATAACTCACTTAAAAATGATTCTAGGGAGATTGTGGAGAGTTCAGATCTGTTAAAAATGAAAAAGACCATATAGCAGTTGTAAGATTTGTGAATTGAGGAATTGAGATTATCCCCTTCTTTAATGAAAGTGTGAGTGGGACGCTGAGGAACAGTTACTGGGTAGCGGAGGGGTACCAACTTGGAGCCTCATGCTAGAGGGTGAGGGAGCGGTTGGTCATGTCATAAAAATACCCTGCACCTGACTAGAGCATAAGAAATTGCTGAAAGTCATACTGGTACAGAGTGAGGCCATTTGTGAAGGTAGAGAAACCTAGAAAACTATTACTTTGGCAGTACTAAAGTGAATGTAAATAAATTGTAAACGTCTTAGTAATAATAGCAGTAATATCTCCAGTTTATTGACTGCTAGGAATTTCAAGATTTCCACTCTGAAGTTCAAAACAACGCAAATTTATTGTACTGTTTTCAGTTTTATTTTAATTCGGTAGCATTTTGTACATTGATTTTGCATTAAATTTTGAGGTGGAAGAAGTCACAACACAAAGTGCAGTAAATGAAACTGACAAAGTCATAATATTATGAAAAGACTTGGAAATCTGTAATACCTCGTGAGACAAGGTAGTGACAGCTTCTCAGGTGCCTCTTGTACCTCGAGTGACTGACTTTTAAATGACTCACTGTTCACTAGGCAGTAGCCTAAGTAAGTCTTTCTCACCCTTGCTACACTTCTGAGTGCTCTTCCTCTTGTCATATTCTGACATAACCGAAAAAGAAGTTAAGTTCTTGTTGCTTTTATTTTTTACTGCTTGATTACTGCTGTGGAGTAAGTGGCGATCGCGTAAGCTTAGTGGGAGTGCCCCTTTCTCTTTTCCCGTTTTTGGCGGCGGTGGCGGGCGGGCAGTCCTGAAGGTTGAATCCAGGGCCTCACGCATGCTAGGCAGGTGCTGTACCATTAAACTACATTCCCAGTGCTTTTTATTTTTTTGAGACAGGTTCTCACTATGTTGCCCAGGTTGTTCTTGAACTTGTGCTCATTCTGCCTTAGACTCCATGTAGCCTGGAATACAGGTGTGTGCCAGTGGCCCAGCTTTGTACCCCTATTCTTAGTGATACGCGTTCGAGGTGATAAACGCCGCAGTGACCCTGATCTGATCATTATGTATTGTGTACATGTATGGAAGCGCCACACTGTGCCACATAATACATACAAGCTCTGTGTGTTGTTAAAAATTAAAACAAGCATGCCTGTAGGCCAGGACTTGGGAAGCAGAAGTAGGAGGACTGTGAGCTCAAGGACCGCTTGGGCTACATGGTAAGTTCAAGGCCAGCTTGGACTATATAGTGAGGACCTGTCTGTGAATAAACAAGCAAACAAAAATTAACAGTAACAGGTATTTCTCTCTCATTGAAGGTTACATTTTACGACTCACTCTCCAACAAAGCAGCCTCGGGGTCTGCTGTTTCTTCAGTTCAGTGCTGCAGGGTTGCTGCGCAGTGCTGCCGTGTGCTAAGCTGACCCTCCCCTTGCGTAGGAAGGGGGGACAGTAGAGTTGACATTGCAGCTCCCTCCATCACACTCCCTATGTTCTTTACTTAATTTTCCTGTCTAGCACTTTCCAACACCTAGTATTTTGTGTTGAAGCCGGAGCGGTGGAATATGCCTGTAATTGCAGCTGTTTGGGAGGTGGAGGCAGAAGGACCTACAGGCTCAAAACCAGCCTGAACCACTCCGTGAGACCCTGCTGCCAAAGCGTTTTTGAAGGGCGAGAGTATGGTTTGGGGCAGAGTCCCTGGGCTCAATCCTTCATCTCCACTGCTGCCCCCGCGCACCCGAAATCTGTGTGTTTTGTTTTGTCTTTGATCTCATCTTAGTCTCCTTGAGTTACTATAACAAAACACCATAGACAGAGTGGCTTATGCAAAACAAAACTTTTATTTCTCCCAGCTAGGGAGGCTTGGAAGTCTCTGATGGAGGTGCTGGCGGACGGAGCGTGGCAAGGGCTCGTTTCGTGGCTCGTAGCTGGTGCCCTCGTGCTGTGTGCTCACGGGTGGATGCTGCAAGGCAGCTGTGGGGTCTTCGATAAGGATACACATCCCGCGCGAGGATCACATCCTCACCCACATTCCTGATTCTGTCCTATTCTGTCAGCGTAAGAATTTGGGGGACAGACCATAATGTCTATCCAGAGAGTGTTAGCTACATGAGGCAAGGAATGTTTTGTCAAAGAAGTATTCACTGGTTGAGAAGTGGGGAAGATACATCTATTCAGTCACCATGTTCCCTTTATTCTGGTTCTCTAGCCTGCCTGGTTATTTTTTATTTTATTGTAATTTTTTGAAGACAAGGTCTTGCCATGCAGTTCAGGCTGGCCTTGAATTCGCTGTGTAGCCCAGGCCGGCCTTGAACTTGCAGTGATCCTCCTGCCTCAGCCTTCCAAGTGCTGGGATTACAGGGGTGCGCTGCCATGCCTGGCTTTAGCCTGTTTTAACTCCACTGCTACTTCTCTATTTCAGGCATTTAATTTTAATTTAATTTTTTTTTTCTTTTCTTGGTATTTTACCTGCTCTATTCACCCGCCTCCCACCCCGCAGTACTGAGGATTGACTGTAGGGCTTTTAAACTGAGCTGTATCCCCAGCTCTTTTAAAATTTTTCGAGACAAGGTCCTGGTAAATTGATTGGTTGCCATGGCTGGGCACAGACTTGCAGTCCTGCTGCCGCAGCCTTGTAGAGCGCCGGGATTTCAGGAGTCTGCTGTCAGGGAGGCTTCCTGTCAGCTTCTCTGCCCCACCCCCCATTTCTCTGCTGTTCCCTGCGCTCCATCTCAGACTTCACGTGCAGTAGTACCCGTATTTGCCAAATATATTCCCCTCCCTCGGGCTGCTTTTCAGTATGGCCCTTGACCTCAGCATAACTTGGAACGTCCTTAGCAAGAGCAGTTCTTGAGGACCGCCAAGGGCTGCTGAGTTAGAAACTCTCAGGGAGGACTTCGCCAGCTGAACAAGCCTTCCGGGAGATCTGACTGCATGCTAAACTTGAGGAGCACTGCCCTAAATCTCCAACAGCTCATTTCCACGAGTCGGCCGTTAATTGCCGCCCTCTCAAAATCACTGTTACTGTGTAACTCTGTCTGAATCTCTAACCCTGGTCGCTGTCAGTCCTTTTCAGATTATGCATGGACTCTGCCTTGTGTGTCCTCCCAGGCCTTCACACTGTGCAGCCTCTGAACAAGACTCACGATCCATTTCCTGAAATCCAGTTTACATACTGTTGCTTGTTTTTTCCCAGCCTTGCAACTTTGAATATTAGATTGTGCAATTTTTTGTTATTTTTTCTGTTTTATTGTGATACAGAGGAGCAAAACAGCAACAAAAGATGTTTTTTTAACTCTACTGTCCAAAATATGGTAAAGATTTTCTGGACAACAAGCTTACCATTGTGAATATACCATATATTAAAAGTAAATTTTATCTTATTCTTCTTTTCTTCTTTGTCTTCTCTCCCTGACCTTCAATCCCCTTTCTTTCTTTTTTTAAGAATTTAAGAGACTGTTAACTTTGAATCTTGCCCTCTGTTGTCCAAGTTCTTTTATAATGCTGAAGGCATCTTTAACCCGTGGCTAATAGATGATAGCTTATACCAGCACTGAAAGGTGAGACCAGCCAGCGTTTAAGATGCTCCGCTATGAACCCTGCAGTAGGTTCTTAATACATTCTTCTTAAATGAGTAAGTAGTCAATTCAAAGGACTGAGCAAATTGCCAAGGGTGAAAATGCTTAGTGGCAGCTGGTCATGTGGTGCGTGCCTGTCACTGCAGCACTCTAGGAGACAGCAGCAGAAATCTAAGTTAAAGCACAACGTAGAGATACCCAGTCTGGTCAGTGTGAAGGCCTTGGGTTCAATGCCTAGTATCCCCGCCTCCAGAGAAAAGCATAGGGAGATTGTGTCTAGAGACAAGAGATTTCAAGAATTTGAGTAATAAGGAATAAGACATTTTTACATTCAGTAAGTATTAAGTGATTAAATTAAAGGTTCTAAAGGAAAGAACAAGTAGCCATTGTCACAGCTGTGTCCTTCTCTGAAGGGCAAGGGTAAGTTGAAATGTCACTCCAGGGTCTGGGGTATGGCTTAGTGGGGAAGCGCATGCTTTGCCTGTGCAAGGCCCTGGGCTCAGGCCTCAGCACCAAGCAGATAGATAGTTACGCCAGTGCAAATTTTCCAGTTTAGGTTTTTGAACTCATATTTATTTGTATGCATGCCTTCCTATGAGTATTTTCTTTGATGTATATTTTAAATAATGTCTCATGTTGACGTATTTACTGTTACAGTCTAATGGTTGGACCAGGTATCTTGGACCATAAATTTTAACTGTTATAATAGCTTGTTTTATTTTTAACAGGAAAGGTAATAATTTATGTCTTACATATGAAGAATTTTATATTTGAAAATCATCACAATATATACTCTCAAAACATGAGATACTGTTATAAAAAACATGTTACCTTCAGTTAAAATTTAAAACCTTTCTCTTTAACGTGCACACAGGAAGCCTCGACCCGTCTCCCAGCTGGTCGCACAGCAGGTTACTCCGCAGTTTGTGCCCCCTACTCAGTCAAAGAAAGAGAAAAAAGATAAAGTAGAAAAAGAAAAAAGTGAAAAGGAAGCAACTAGCAAAAAGAACAGTCATAAGAAAACCAGGTAAATTTGAAGAGTGTTTATGGTATTTTTGAAATGATAAAATTAACCATTTAATATTCTTTTCTTAACATCGATACACTCATGCACATAACAGGAGAGTCAAAGATTTATCTCCTTCATTCTAAAGTGTTGTGGAAGCTTCTGATTTTGGGAGGTGTATTGGAAAGCAAACACAGTGGTCACAGGTATGAGCCTGTCAGGATTTTTTTTTTTTTTCTTTTTACTAGGTTTTTAGAGGACATTGCTTGTTCTTTTTTCCCTGCGTATAGAAGGGCTGTTTGAAAGCTAGAACAGCGGCATTGAAACTGCCTGGATATTTGCTGGGGCTTTGACCAGTCAGAACGGTCACAGGTCCGGTAGCGCAGTCGTGACAGTCTTGGAAAGTCTGTCAGTGGAGTACGGCCTTGCGCACAGCTCACCGTCAGTGTTCATCGGCTTCCTCTCTTAGCAACTCTTCGTTGTCCTAAATCTATCGTGATAAGATTACTAAGCTGCCTACAAATTGTAAAATAAATTTAAAGCACAATTAAGAGACCACTGCTTCCAGACTGTCAGCAGTTTTTTTGTCCAGTTGATTGTTCACGAATGATTGGTTTGATTAATGCTCGTGATCTGAAACATTGAATGATACTTGTGTGACTAGTTACACATGGATAACTTTAAACATAAATGCATTCGTTTTGTCGCCCTTGCCTTATTCATTATTTAGTATATGGTCATAAATTTGATAGAGGAAAAAGCTAGTTTTAAAAAATTCATCATTTTTTGTGTTTAGGCCGAGATTGAAAAATGTGGATCGGAGTAGTGCTCAGCATTTGGAAGTTACCGTTGGAGATCTAACAGTCATTATCACAGACTTTAAGGAGAAAACAAGGTCACCACCTGCATCTAGTGCTGCCTCCGCAGATCAGCACAGTCAGAGCAGCTCCAGCTCTGACAACACAGAGAGGGGAGTGTCCCGGTCGTCTTCGCCCAGAGGAGAAGCCTCATCACTGAATGGAGAATCGCATTAAAGTTTATTTCCCCGTTTCTTAGTCCCTTCTGTCCTACCATGCAGACACACAGATTATGCCAAGAAGTACCACATTTTCCTGACACACATTTGTGCACAACCCATAATTTGAGTTCTCCATAAAATTAAAATTGGTCAACGTTTGTTGGATTTTATTGCAGTCTATGCCTAGAAAACATTTCCAGACTAAACATTTTGGTCTCTGTAGTTAGGTGTCATGAAAATGTGGTTGAATTATTCATATGCAGTGTTATTGGTAAGTCTATTTTCACTTTTAGTTTAGTGAATTCTAACACATAATTCTTGAATTCTCTACTATTGGCATGTAATAAGTTTAAATTTTTTATAACATATTGCAAGCTGCCTAAATATGTATTATTTGAGAATTGTGAAACAAATAGTTATATGTATACAAGTCAGAGATCAACTTAATCAACTATTGCTGCAACAGGATTTCTTAATGGTTATCCTCTTAAATACACCTGCTGGTACTTGGTGTGGTTAAATAGGAAAGTTGTTATTAAAGAATTTGTATGAACTTTGCCAATGTTTTTGACATGTTTTACTAAATTATTGTTCTGAATTATGTTTCTGGTTTTAGCCATTTTTGAAGGTGTTTTTGTTAGTTTGCTTATTTTTCAAAACATTCATTTATTGTAATGTTTGTTAGCAGACTGGTGAACAAAGCATTGATTATTTAGCTTTATAATTCAGGTTTAGTGCTATTGTCATTGAACACTGGTTATTTTCTGTATTATATAAAACATTAAAATTCAGATAATTATAAGCGTTTGGCAAAAAAAAGAAAAAAAAAAAGAAATTTGCCATATTATAAAAGCTGCAAGTTTGGAAAAGCTTTAATTTAATGATAGTTTTATCACTGTTTTCTTGTCCCAAACTTATCCAGGGTCATAGATGTTTGAATCCAGTTAATACAGAAATGGAACTGTTGCACAGAACTGGGAAGTAACTAAACCTACATTAATTTAATTGGCTTCATATTAAACAGCAATTCTTATGAAAATCATAGTTCCCTATTTGCAGACACAACTGCCAATTTATGCATTTATTAATATTCTGAAATAAAAACGTATTTACAGCCCCACTCACTATTATGTACAGTTACCAATAAAATATTTTTATGACTATAGATTTTGCATTTTTGTTTACAACTAATAAAATGTTTTGTGTTGTATTTAAAAATCCCAGCTTCGAAACCACACAATACTTTTTAAATTCTTCTATGGTCTCTTGCTTTCTGTAATCATTTGCTGAATATATATCCATCTGTGGAGACTCCTAAAATGTAAATCAACTTAAAAACATAGCTTGGATACAAAATATCACAGAAAAGATAACTTGCTAACATTTGAAGAAAAAAACTGTAGACCCTGACAGTTGTGAAATTTAGTGGTTTCTCGTGGTAATGTAATTTTCTGTTTAATTTCAGTACTTTCTACAGACAAAATGGTACCGTCTTTTGTAAGATGCTAGTTGTGAAATACAGTTAATTGCATATAGTAAAAATCTGTGATTAAAACATTCATATACCTCATTCTTTAGTGTTGTTAAATGAAAAATGAAAATTTGTGTTTAAGATGCTTTCAGTGGAATACTAACTAACTGGTTATGTTCTTTTAAAACAGGCTATTTTGTCTTAGCCTTAGTTTTTCCCATTTCAAATGTTTCATATATTCATTTTTGGGGATCCTACAAATTGAAAATAATTGTAATAGAAAAACATTCTAATACTTAGTCAAAATTTGTGATGATCAGATACTTTCAGGATGTATTTTAAGTGAACTACAAGCGAGAAAAATATTGACAGAGGGTGGAATTTTACCTGACTAGGACGTGCTTATCGTCCTGTGCAGGCAGCACGGAGACTAACCCAGTCATTGCGAAGATGGCAAGGGTTTGGATTTTTGCATGAGGTTCATATGTGTTACCTAGAAAAATTCAAGGAACAGGAATTTGAAGTTGAAATTTTTTATTATGTTCCATTCTTAGAGGAGTTCCAAAAGTGGAACACTAGGTATTGAAGGGTTGAGTGCTCACTGACATCTAGTGCTTGAGTCCCTGTTATCAGCCTGAGTAAATCACTCCATAAAACCAGTGATGACTGTGTCTAACTCGTAGGGTTGTTGGGAAGATTAAATCTCATATATAAGATCTTGATGAGGGGCTGGGGATTTAGCTCAGCGGCAAAGCACCTGCATGGCAAGCACAAGGTCATGAGTTCGATTCCTGGTACCGGAAGAAAAACAAAATTAAAAAAAACAAAGATCTTGATGACCTGACAAATACTGGATGCTCAGTAGATGGGAGTTTGTTTATGGGCTGCTGTGCTGGCTTGCCCAGCACACGTAAGGCCCTGGGTTTGAGCCTCAGCACAGGTGAGGGGGGAGGGAGTAAGTTTCACTAGACAAGGTGGTAGCTCAGGTAAAACCCCCGTATAAAAATACAAAAACAGTTTTCGTAATGAAATCATTTCCATGCCTCCTGGATAACCTAAACAAACAGTGTCCTAAATGCTCTGTGAATTTTCACTATAACATCAGGTGTTTGCAGTGGTCCTCGAAATACCATCCTTCCACAACTAAAGAACACAGTGAGTGTCCACGGTGAGAGTGGAGAAGTGAGCTAGGCTGCCTAGTTTGAAATTTCGTTTTCCACTCATTCATCACAGTTACCTTCACCTGCCTTCGTTTTACTCTACCTCAAACATACTTCCACACCTAGAAAACATGCAAATACCATAAGTGATTTATGCCTGTTACAGTATGCACAAAGATTCAGAGTCTGGGGCTGGGGTGTGTTTAGGTACATTTTAGTTGTGCATTGTGCTGTGAATTTACGGTGTGGCTTTAGCATTGGGGCTTTTGGACCAGATTCTATACAAAAAGAATTTGGATGTTTTTCAGAGTTTATTATCTTACCCTGATAAACGTAGAGTGAAGGTATACTTTTGAGGAAGACAAGAATACATACCCCCACCACCATCACCACCAGTGCTAGGGATTAAACTCAGGGCTTTCACAGCGAGCTACATCCCCAGCCTCTTTTTATGTTTTGAGACAGAGTCTCACTGATATGCTCAGATGGACTCAAACTTGTGATCTTCCTGTTTCAGCCTCTCAGAGTGCTGGGACTACACCCGTGCACCACCACATCCAGCTGAAAATGCATACTCTTAAAAAGTATTTGTATTACACACACAGTAGAAATAGTTGACTTAATAGGTTAAAAGGTTTTTATTTTGAACTCTTCTTAAAATCATAGTGATAATAAAGGTGAAAACATTTTAAAAAGGGAATAAAAAAATGCCAGCCTGAGTTGTAGCATCTTTATTAACTTTTAGATACAAGTCCATAGCCAGGTGTGGTGGTACACACCTGTAACCCCAGCACTTGGGAGGCTGAGGCAGGATGAATTGAAGGCCAGCCTGGACTACATAGTGAACTCAAGGCCAACTTGAACTACACAGTGACACACTGTCTCAGATTAAAAAAAAATAGATAAAAGTCCTTGTTGCCTAAGAGAATGTAGTTTTAACATATATTTTAGTGGTAAGTGGTCTGGAAACTTTAGTTTTCACTGAGACCTTATTTTACTTTCTTGGTCTGCAGATTTTCTCTTTTCCAGAATCTTTGAAGGTTCCGATACAGGAACTATTTAACCTATTGATACACATTTCTGCAGTGTACTTTGAAAATGAAGCAGCAACAGAAGAATGTGTCTGCAAGGAGACGATAACAGTAAAATAGTGATTTGAGCTTTTAGTGTTCACCCCTCACATTTACCATGAGACACCGTCGGTTCCCTAACAATGCAGTTAGAAAAGCTGAAGGGCAGAAAGCTCATCAGTGACACAGTAAAGCTGAGTGGACTCAAAAGACAATAAAAGTTATAGGACACAGGATGGGATTGATTGTTTCTTTGAAAACTGCATGTAAAGAATGCCTCCACTGGCTGTTGACGGAGATGAAAAGTAAGACCCATTAGTATCGAAGGCAAAGAAAGAGAAATGGAAGAAAGTGCAGGTCGAGGGCGGGGGAAAAGAAAGAAATAGGTGGGGGTCCTGGGTGCAATTGGGATAACAGGAGAATCACAGCATGCAGCGTGACAGTTGGAGAACAAACTTTTAAGATACGGTGTGATAAATCACCTTAAGGACTCAGGCATTAGAGTTTATTTAATAGACTTACTAGAGCAGCAATACATGTAATACTTTAGAACGATTTTCACAAGAGCCAGTGTGAGAGGCTGTTGTAGAGGTTTTCCAGTGGTTAGACTCAGTGCTGACTTTCGGGGGGAGTTTGATTTGGTTCTCATCCGGTTGGGTTTGCAGCCAGAATCATGGGAGGGAATTGAGGGTGAGCTGAGGTACCACTTAGGAATGTATGACACGGATCTCCACCAGCCAACATCATTTCAGTGTTATATCTTAAGGTATTAATTAGGCTTTGTGTTTAGCCAATGCAGATATTCCTGACTTTGTGAATAGGGCAGTTCTAAAGCATGTGAAATACTACAATAAGGCCAGATACTTCAGTGGAAGAAATTAATCAGAGACCTCTGGAAGGTTTCAGTTCTCTGGGACAGGTTTTACATTCTAAACCTTTTTCCCCCTAAGTGGGAGTTATAGACTAGCTTACTATTATAATACTTTCAGTATTTCTCTGATCTGGGCTTTCTTTGCATCAGTATTTAATTCAGTGAACATTTATTGATCATAGTTTGGGTGCTGGACACTGTACTAGGGTTGGTTACAAAGAAGACAAAGGTATGGGAATCATGTCTTACAGATCTGTAAATAATTATAGTGCCATACTGCAACAATAAAAATATGCATAAGATGCAAAAATAGCAGAGAGTGTGCTTGCTACCTTTTTTTTTTTTTTTTTCCCTTGAACATTTTACCTATGCCTAAGTATCCACTGCAACTCCACATTGAAAATGTTAGGACCTTAGTCTGATGTTTGCAGCTGATAATGTATAACTGAGTTTTAGCCAGCAGCTCTCTTACTACTACAGCTTGAATTTCCAAAATTGAAGATTTTGGGGCTGGGGATTTAGCTCAGCGGCACAGCGCCTGCCTGGCAAGTGCAAGGTCATGAGTTAGATTCCTGGTACTGGAAGAAAAAAACAAAACAAAAAAAACAAAATTGAAGATTTTAAGCTATATAATTTGAGGTAACACATGATTTTCCTCCAGTTTTTAAAGTCAAGAAACAGTTGGGCTTGGTGTTGTACACTTGTACTCATATCTATTTTAAGAGCCGAGGCAGGAGGGTCTCAAGTTTGAGGCCATAGGCCATTTAACAAGACCCTTTCTCCAAAGTAAAATTTAAGAAGGGGTGGGGAGGTAGTCAGTAGGGGAGAGAGCTTGTGTAGTGTGCGTGAGGCCGTGAGTTCATTCCCTAGTAGTGCAAGACACCCAAAACCAAAGCAAGCCAAACACAAAAACACAGCTGAATGAGGTCTGCTGTTTGCTTTTTGTGAAGATGTTGAAGAAACATACTAGGTCACTCTCTCCAAATGAGAAATCTTACTCAGACCTATTTCAAGAACAGCTTTACATACGAAATAAATTGCGCTTTCCTTATAGACAGTGCGGATCATTCATTCATTGTCCTTAATTTTTGCTGTGATTGCAAGAAATTTCAGATTAAAATTGGGCTCAATTTTAATTTATGTCGGACTCAATAGCCTATATGTCTATATTCCAAATTTTTTAAAAATTTGTTTTTTGTTGTTGTGAGGCAGGAGCTTGCTACGTAGCCCAGGCTGGCCTCAGCCTCCTGTGTGCAGGTACCACGTCTGATTGAAGTTTTTATTCTTGACTTTCTATAATTTTCCAAATTTTGGTATTTTCTTTTGTTCTTAAAAACTGCCTTGACTATCCAGTGTAAATGAGAGCTAACTAGTAATAATTTCTTAAAATGCCTTTATTTCAAAGTGTAGCAAACCCCAAAGGGAAACTGGGGGCGCTGGTGAACTCCCGTGTCCCAGCAGGAACTCCTGAGGCATGGAGGTGGTGTGCGTGGAGCCGGCAGGTCCTGAGGTGGTGTCTGCTTCCCTGCCTGGAAGACGGGCGTGTGGACGGAAGGTACCACCTTGCCAGGATTTTGTGAACTCTCTTTCCAAGAACATGTAAAAACTAAACTGGGCGCTCTGATGAGCTAGACTTCATGCCTGTTACTTTCACTGTCCTCCTTTAATCGCAGCGGTGAAGTGGTCCTTGCCTGCTTTTGGCGTTAGCAGGAGCTGGGACTCTGTACAACTAGCTTGGGAGAGCACAACTAATGGACCCCCCCAAAAAAGTTAATGTGTTCTTTAAAAGGAAATATGCTGAGTTCCTTCGACCCAAGAAGTAGTTTTTGGTCTTTAAAAGGAGAAGACAAAGCACCTAGGTTTGTAGCACAGGGGAAGATAAAAGCTTAAGGGACACTTAATTAGAAAAGAGCAAAAAAGTAATTTTTTACTTTATGAAGACACAGGTGTGACACTTAAGCCAGGTAAAACAGGAATGTGTAGGGATGTTATTTCTGT